AATGAATGAATGAATGAAGGAATGAATGAAGGAATGAATGCAATGAAGGACTGAATAAAATGAATGAACGAACTGCAATGAAATGAACTCTAATCAAATAAAACAACATGAAATGAAATGAGCAAACACAATGAATGAATGACATGAATCAAAGAAAGAAAGAAAGAAAGAAAGAAAGAAAGAAAGAAAGAAAGAAAGAAATAAAGAAAGAAAGAAATAATGAATGAAATGAATGAATGAATGAATGAATGAATGAATGAATGAATGAATGAATGAATGAATGAATGAATGAATGAATGAATGAATGAATGAATGAATGAATGAATGAATGAATGAATGAATGAATGAATGAATGAATGAATGAATGAATGAATGAATGAATGAATGAATGAATGAATGAATGGATGGATGGATGGAATGGATGGATGGATGGATGGATGGATGGATGGATGGATGGATGGATGGATGGATGGATGGATGGATGGATGGATGGATGAAATGAATGAATGAATGAATGAATGAATGACAATGAATGAATGAATGACAATGAATGAATGAATGATGGATGGATGGATGGATGGATGAGTGAATGAATGAATGATGGAATGAATTCATGCAGGAATGAAGGAATGAATGAATGAATTAATGAATGAATGAATGAATGAATCAATGAATCAATGAATGAATGAATGAATGAATGAATGAATGAATGAATGAATGAATGAATCAATGAATGAATGAATGAATGAATGAAGGAAGGAAGGAAGGAAGGAATGAAGGAAGGAAGGAAGGAAGGAAATGAATGAATGAATGAATGAATGAATGAATGAATGAATGAATGAATGAATGAATGAATGAATGAATGAATGAATGAATGAAATGAAATGAAATGAAATGAATGAATGAATGAATGAATGAATGAATGAATGAATGAATGCATGAATGAATGAATGAATGAATGAATGAATGACTGACTGACTGAATGAATGAATCAATGGAATGAATGAATGAATGAAGGAAGGAAGGAAGGAAGGAATGAAATGAATGAATGAAATGAATGAATGAATGAATGAATGAATGAATGAATGAATGAATGAATGAATGAATGAATGAATGAATGAATGAATGAATGAATGAATGGATGGATGGATGGATGGATGGATGGATGGATGAATGAATGAATGAATTAATCAACGAATCAATGAATGAACGAATGCATGAAATGGAATGGAATGAAATGGAATGGAATGGAATGGATGAATGAATGAATGAATGAATGAATGAATGAATGACTGACTGACTGAATGAATGAATGAATGAATGAATGAATGGAATGAATGACTGAATGTATGCATGGATGGATGGATGGAAGGAAGGAAAGGAAAGGAAAGGACAGGAATGGCATGACATGAAATGGAATGGAATGCCACACAATGAAATGAAATGAAATTAATGAATGAATCAAGGAAGGAATGACTGAATGAATGAAAGGAATGAAGGAATGAAGGAATGAAGGAATGAAGGAATGAAGGAATGACTGAATGAATGAATGAATTAATGAATGAGTGAGTGAATGAATGAATGCATGAATGCATGGATGGATGGATGGATGGAAGGAAGGAAAGGAAAGGAAAGGACAGGAATGGCATGAAATGGAATGAAATGACACGAAATGAATGAAATGACATGAATCGAAATGAATGAAATGAATGACATGAATTGAAATGAATGAATGAATGAATGAATCAGGGAAGGACTGAAGGAATTAAATAATGAATGAATGAATGAATGAATGAATGAATGAATGAATGAATGAAGGAAGGAAGGAAGGAAGGAAGGAAGGAAGGAATGGATGGATGGATGGATGGATGGATGAATGAAATGAAATGAATGAATGAATGAATGAATGAAATGAATGAATGAATGAATGAATGAATGAATTAATGAATGAATGAAATGAATGAATGAATGAATGAATGAATGAATTAATCAACGAATCAATGAATGAATAAATGAATGAATGAATGAATGAATGAATGAATGCGTGGATGGATGGATGGATTGATTCATGGATGGATGGAGGGATGAATTTGATGCATGGATGGATGGATGGATGGATGGATGGATGGATGGATGGATGGATGGATGGATGGATGGATGGATGGACGAATGAATGAGTGAGTGAGTGAGTGAGTGCATGAATGGATGAACTAATGAATGAATGAATGAATGAATGAATGAATGAATGAATGAATGAATGAATGAATGAATGAATGAATGAATGAATGAATGAATGAATGAATCAATGAATCAATGAATCAATGAATCAATGAATGAATCAATGAATGAATACATTTGATGAATGAATGAATGAATGAATGAATGAATGAATGAATGAATGAATGAATGAATGAATGAATGCATGAATGAATGAATGAATGAATGAATGATTGAATGATTGAACGAACGAATGAATGGAATGGAATGGAATGGAATGGAATGGAGTGGAGTGGACTGGAGTGAATGAATGAATGAGTGGAGTGAATGAATGAGTGGATGGATGAATGGATGAATGAATGCATGCATGGATGGATGGATGAGTGAATACATGAATGAATGATTATGAATGAATGATTATGAATGAGTGAATGAATGGACGGAAGGAAGGAAGGAAGGAAGCAAGGAAGGCATGAATGCATGAATGCATGAATGCATCAATGCATGAATGCATGAACGCATGAATGCATGAATGGATGGATGAATGGATGGATGGAAGGAAGGAGGGAAGGGAAGGAAAGGACATGAAACGAAGTGAAATGAAATGAAATGACTGAATGAATGAATCATGGAAGGAGTGAATGAATGCAAATAATGAATGAATTAATGAATGAATGAATGAATGAATGAATGAATGAATGAATGAATGAATGAATGAAGGAATGAATGAAGGAATGGATGGATGCATGAATGAATGAGTGAGTGAGTGAGTGAATGAATGAATTAATTATCGCAGGAGTTTTATAAATGAATTCGTGAATGAATGAGTGAATGAATGAATTAATGAATTAATGAATGAATGAATGAATGAATGAATGAATGAATGAATGAATGAATGAATGAATGAATGAATGAATCAATGAATCAATGAATCAATGAATCAATGAATCAATGAATCAATGAATCAATGAATCAATGAATGAATGAATGAATGAATGAATGAATGAATGAATGAATGAATGAATGAATGAATGAATGAATGAATGAATGCATGCATGCATGCATGCATGCATGCATGCATGAATGAATGAATGAATGAATGAATGAATGAATGAATGAATGAATGAATGAATGAATGAATGAATGAATGAATGAATGAATGACGTGTGTATATCTATATATGTATATGTGCATACACATGCACAAGGAGGGTCTAATATTTTCAATACACCCTTCCTACGATCACGAGGTAATCTTGTTTAGTCGTGCTACGCAAACCCATTCTAGTTGAGCCCTGAGAGGCACTCGCCGATCGGAAGTGAGAAGCTGTTCCATGGTGCCACGTGGGTGGCTCGGACTCCGTTTTTCAGTTGGTACCCTGTTTTCTGGTTGTTTTTAAGAGGAAACTACAAGGATCATACCTTTGCATTTTCTTGGATGTTGGGACTAACTTTTTGCCAACAAATGGGTTTTCCATTAGACCACTAAAAGGTAAACTTTTAGCAGGGGAGCAGAAAGCAACCGAGATACAATTTTGGGAGTCCCTTAAAAGACACACCCACGTGTCGGATTCTTGTTTGGCCATGCAGAACACGAGCCATGGACAACATAATACACTTGAGATGTATATAACACCCTATGAGTACTGCGAAAAATGTCCATCCACAGTAGGGACAGGACTCACCCACGTCTGCATCACAGAATGGGTTTGTGGGCAAAAAAAAGATACTCGAAGAATTGCCTCAAGGTGATGTTTTGCACCACCCAACGGAAGTATCTGCAAACCTTGGAACAAATCCACAGCGAAAAATCGGCGATCCCCCAGCTTTCAGGACCTTCACTGTGGGCTCGTTTTACCCCCGGGTGGGTTTGATGTGAAGCTACAAGGAACACCGAAGCCGCTTTTGGAGTCTCATTTTGTGTCAGGGTGGAGGCTTGCACTAGCACAAGCTGTTGCCAGAGGGCGTGGGGGGGGGACTCTGACAAGTCATCTGCATTTTTTTTTGAAAGGCGAGCTCGGCATTGAAAAGTTGGGGTTCGGAGCAGGCGGTCTGAAAGATACCTGGCAATTCCCATCCAAGCTGACCGGTTGGATGGGAATCAGCCAGTTTGGCACCGAAGAAAGGGCAACCCTGTTCAAGCATGAGCAACATCAGTTTCAGCTGGTCATAGTTTGCTAGCCTTTGAACCACTTTCTATCAATGATCAATGTGCTACCGCAAGTGATCTTCCAAGCACACCTATGCCCCCTTTTTCGAGGGTGCCCCCTTATTTGGCTTGCCGCAAAAGGAGCGAAATGACAGACATGGATTTGGGAACTGGAATGCGAGTGGCTTAACAAGAGCAGCAATCTGATAATATGAATTTATTTCTGGTTTTAACGTACCCCGCCACGCCAGTCTAAACGGCCCTTATAGCGTTCCTTCCTCCCTTGACGTGAAGGGCTCTTCCACTTACTTTTGGGGGTGGGTTCCGCCTTAAACGCAACATGTAAGAGGGTCACTTTGAGAATGTCACTTTTCGATGGACCCAGCACCCTTTGTCCAACAAGCACGGAAGTGGACAAAAGACCCTTTTATAGGGTGGCACCTTTTTTCAGCCGCGCCTGTCGATTTCCATGATTGTTCGGAAGATTGTAGTCAGGGGTCTTTTCTTGTTTGCCGTTTTTGTGGTTATGGCCAACACTTTTACAGGACCCATAGGAGAGTTTCCCTTGGCAGGTAGGTGATCAACCCGGTCCATTTTTCTCCAGGAGACGGAGCAGGACACCAGGAAGGTCATCGATGATAGGCACGCAGGGAGCGGAGACGTGGAAACGGGATGCACTGAGACGGGCTTGCGACTTGGGAGCCTTTCTGGCAGAATACAAAGTAGTTCGAAGCTGAGGGTTCTTCAAACACCACCCCACTTTCGTGGTTTGCCAACTTTCGAGCAGGAAGGATCTTGGAACAGAATCTGGGGGGTACGGATAGGGTCTAAGGTATGGATAGGGTCTAAGGTACGCCGAAGAAAAGAACAACAAACAGGACTGGAAAATGACACCGGGTGAGTCGGCGCCAGAAGATAAGTGGGGTGTGTTTTTAGGGAGCCCTTTTTTTGGGCGGGACTGAAAGGGAAGACACATCCAATGTCCTCTCCGAGGGAGTCCATCCGTGCCATGGACACTAAGATAATATATTGCAGCCAGAACCTCCCGACGCGCGAATTGGTTGGTTTGCCCCCCCCCCCCCCGCCCCATATTGACACACATGTGTGTCCCAAATTTTAGCCTGGACCTTTCAGACAATCTTGGTTTTCCTCTATGTTTCGGTTTTAAACCAACCAAAGAAGAACCGTGTACTCCCCCGAAAAAGGAAAACGCGCCGCCCATACTTTTCCCTCATTTTCCCTCCATGGCTCGAGCCGAAAAAAGTCCCACGCGACTTGCGCGATCGCGCGCGCGAGTCTTCAAGGGGCGGCTGCAGGCTGCACGCCTGCGCCTTCCGGGACTACGCGCTGGGCTACTCCACCGCCGGGCCCTTCGAGGGCATCGAGGCCTTGGGCCAGGAGCGCTGAGGGAGACGAGCCACGCAGTTTTGCTCGGCCACAAAAGGAGGGGGAAGCTTTGTGTTGGAAGGGGAGCCTAACATGAGCTTGGGGGCCTGTTTTTGGGTTGACCCCGTAAAATTCAAAGAAGGATCCCTTGGTCTCCTTTTTGGTCTCCTTTTTTGACCTTTGAAAGTAAGATTGAATTGGTCTCCTCTTAGGTTTACCTTTAGGTACCAACTAAACTGAAGGTCCGAATCCCATTTTGGGAAGCACCCGCAGCACCCGAGAAACCGGCCTCTCCAAACGGCGAACAGACGAGGAGGAGCCGCCCACAAGGAACCGCTTTCGGGGTCTTGATCCAGTCTCCAGAGTTCGCATGGGCCTTATTCAGTACCACTAGGGAGGTGGCCTTCCACACCAATGTTCTATCCATTTCTACCCATGGGCTTTGAGGTTACTTTTTGAAGGCCAAATCAAAGGAGCAACCCTGCTCAGGGCTCGCGCCCTTTTTGGAATGGGGAACGCTTGCTGGTTCTCAGGGAATCAACAAGGGTTTTGGGAATGCACACTACGTTCGATCTTCTTAGGACCGGTTGTACCGGCAATGGAAGTGCAAGAAAGGCCATTGAGGGGCCTGCGAGTTAACAAAGAAACAAAAAACCAGGAGGCCCAACAACGTGCCTTGAACATGTTGGCTTGGGTTCCATGCTAATCTACAGCAGCTTAAGGGGTGTGCGAGCCACTTCCCCCAATTTTGCTTATCACTTCTTTCAAGAGAACCGCCAGAGACGCCCGTTCTTCGGTAGAGCGAGGGTTGAAAAGAATGCTGGATCAACCTGTAGCTCAAAAAGCATCCTCCCAGCATGACTGCTATTGGGTTGGATCTTTAGACTTTAACTTTTTGGGAGATCAAGGGGTTTGCCACTAAACCCCCAAAAAGTTAAACTTTTTGCAGGGGGGTCAACAGCAACCAAGCCAGGCTGCCAGCCAACCACTAACCCATTTGCTCGAAGTGGGATCCCCGTTGGAGGCCCACGACCTCCTTCGGCGACCGCTTCGGGCGACTAAGGGCAATTCTACTTGGGGAGCAAGGGAAATGGGTTCCAGTGAAGCATTGAACCGGTGGCTTCCTTTTGGGGGATCTGTTCATGACCCGAACCCAAGCTGATTCCTTGCGCACCAGCAAGTCGATGCTTCAAAAGCAAAGGGCCACCTTTCATGGCCAAGGTGGTTTTCTTTTGGCTTCCCTTTAAACCTATAGCCCTGCTCGGGGTTCCTGGGAAAACCAAAAGACGGGGTCAGGTGAGCCAAATCAAAACCCGGGTAGATAAAGGTTAGCAAGGGACGATCCCAGCCAGAAACAGCTGCGGCCGCCTTGGTAATTCTTGAAGCATGGTTTTGGGATTACGACCATTTTGATGCCGGGTTTTGATTGCGACCCATTTAGGGCCCCCAGTTTTAACCAGGGGTGGCTTTTCCCCAATTTTTCCGGCTGAGATCTCGTCTGTGTGGTTTTCCCGAATGGTCATCCCATGTTCATCGGAGCTTCTCATTCCAGCTTTCTTGTGGTTTGGATTGGTCAAGGTGCCCAATCTGCCAGCCATCCACGCAAGCAGAAGTAGCGAGTCCACTCCTGGCAAAACCAAACGACGGGGTCTCACGTTGGCTCCCTCTGGCTTCCGATTCTTTGGGCTGAAAAGCGCCCACGGCAGGAGCACATCAAGCAGCACTTCGAGACCAACTTCACGGCCGAGAAGATGGTCATCGCCGCCTCAGGCGCGACAAACATTTTTTTACCTCGGGGGGTCGAGGTCGGGGCGCAGGTCTTGGGCAGGTCGTTTTTGTTTTGTTTTTGCGGTTGTTGTCTAGGTCCCCCAGCTAGGTGCCAACTTTTACCGTTTCTTTTTTGGGGAGGGGAGGGTTTCCCTACAAAAATAGACCACAGAATAAAGTTGGTACCCTTATTCTAACCTCTCTACTGGAGGGCCTACTTGTTGTTTTTTGGTGTGGTGCCTCTGGCAGAGTCGGGAGTGTTGTTGTTTTCAAAGGAAATCAAAGGACACACACCAAGCAACATGGGAGGTACTCCCCTGATTTGAGACAAACTTGTCTCATCCAAACAGGTAAGGAGCTGAACGAGGCTTGGCGTTTGCACCTAAAAGGAGCTTCTCTTCGCATTTGATGAGGCTCATATAGGCCAAACAAATCAGGGCCTACTGGAGGTGTTTCTCTTTCGGGGCGGGGGAAGGGGTTGGTGGGCGGTCGAGTGGATTGGACCGAGAAGTGTCAAACACTGTGCGCGATCGCAAAGGCAAAGGAAGGCCCGGATCCCTTTGGAGCTGGTTCGAAATGCCAATTCTTGGTTTCCGTGGTTCCCCCCAAGAGCCCGACTTCCCTTTTCGGGCCACGCCCCGCAGTTGGGAGCTCTCGAAGCTCTGGGGCTCGGTTTTGGGCTCCGTCTCCCCGTCTCCCCGTGTCTCAGGCGCCGTGAAGCACGCGGAGCTGGTGAAGATGGCCGAGAAGGCCTTTGGCGGTGTGAAGGCGCGTCGCATCGATTTTTTGTTTTGAGGGGGACGCCCCAAAACGGGTGTCCCTCCAAAACCACAAAAAGAAAAGGTACCTTGAAAGAAAGACACCCCCGAAGCCAGCAACAGACACGGCTGTTGCTTCAGAAGGAATTCGCGGGTTGGTGCTGTGTCAACCGAAGAGTTGAGGCTTGAGCTTCCCTCATCCTAACAAAGATTTTGGCCAATGTATTTACTACGGAGCGCCGGGTGTTCAAAGTATACAACCGAAAACATGGGTTTTCGAAATGCACTAGTGCTCGGCGAATGGGTCCGGAACATCTTCCTCTTCGAAACCGTGCCACGTTCGGCAACTTTTGGCTTTTGGCTGGAGTCAACCAAAGGGAAGGAGAAGGCTTCGTTTTGCCAGGGGTAACACTGGGGGGGGTGAATCGAAGCCTTTCCTTTGTTTTCCAACCCAGGACTTCAGGAAGGCCTCCCTGAACCTTTTTCCGACCGTCCGGGCGAATTGGCCGGTCCCGATTCGGACCCTCAAAGGGGGGATTTCTGTAAGCTGTGATTGTTGGAGGGGGTGGTCGTGCGCATCTGGCGCCTTGACCCAGAGTTGGGCCTTGCGCCGGACCCACACTGCACATCGCATTCCGCAAGTCCGGGCAGGTCGCGTGGTCGCGTGGCGTGGCCCTATCCACTCTGAAGTTCCTTTGGGTTGTTTTATGTGGCCGTGGGGGTCGGCGGGTCGGCTAAAGGCTTCTTTCAATTTGGAGACAATCCCAGAGAATGTGGACCCCCTAAATATCACCCCCAGTTTGTTAATAGGAGGTGTTCCCCTCCAAAAGTGAACAATCCCCACTAAAATCAGGGACACCCCCATAAGGGGATTATTAAGAGGGGGTGTTCATTAGGGAGAATATGGCTTATTGCAACCCATGCTTGGCCTCCCCAAGAGATTCAAGTATCCCTTTGCAAGGGACAGTATGAATCCAGGGGGCCCGCGCCGCTCTCTTTTGGGGGCTTTCTTTCCTTCCTTCCTTCATTCCTTCCTTCCTTCCTTTTTTTTCCCCGAAAGCATCGCGAAGGGTTCTTCCGTGCGGAGCCCTTGGACAAGTTACATAGAGCCAAGTTACATAGAGCCAAGTTACATAGAGCCAAGTTACATAGAGCCAAGTTACATAGAGCCAAGTTACATAGAGCCAAGTTACATAGAGCCAAGTTACATAGAGCCAAGTTACATAGAGCCAAGTTACATAGAGCCAAGTTACATAGAGCCAAGTTACATAGAGCCAAGTTACATAGAGCCAAGTTACATAGAGCCAAGTTACATAGAGCCAAGTTACATAGAGCCAAGTTACATAGAGCCAAGTTACATAGAGCCAAGTTACATAGAGCCAAGTTACATAGAGCCAAGTTACATAGAGCCAAGTTACATAGAGCCAAGTTACATAGAGCCAAGTTACATAGAGCCAAGTTACATAGAGCCAAGTTACATAGAGCCAAGTTACATAGAGCCAAGTTACATAGAGCCAAGTTACATAGAGCCAAGTTACATAGAGCCAAGTACATAGAGCCAAGTTACATAGAGCCAAGTTACATAGAGCCAAGTTACATAGAGCCAAGTTACATAGAGCCAAGTTACATAGAGCCAAGTTACATAGAGCCAAGTTACATAGAGCCAAGTTACATAGAGCCAAGTTACATAGAGCCAAGTTACATAGAGCCAAGTTACATAGAGCCAAGTTACATAGAGCCAAGTTACATAGAGCCAAGTTACATAGAGCCAAGTTACATAGAGCCAAGTTACATAGAGCCAAGTTACATAGAGCCAAGTTACATAGAGCCAAGTTACATAGAGCCAAGTTACATAGAGCCAAGTTACATAGAGCCAAGGTTAGGTAGAGCCAAGGTTAGGTAGAGCCAAGGTTAGGTAGAGCTTAGAGCTTCGGCGTTAGCAGCTATGTAAGTTAGTTTAGGTTTCTAAGGCGCCGGGGCGGGAGTTTGATCGTCGCTCGGGATTGCGACTCTCTGCGGAGATTCGCGTGGTCGAGGTTCAAAAACTGAGGACTTTTTACGATTTCTGCTGCGCGCGCGACCCTCTGCGGAGATTCGCGTGGTCGAGGTTCAAAAACTGAGGACTTTTTACGATTTCTGCGGTGCGCGCGCGACCCTCTGCGAAAATTCGCGTGGTCGAGGTTCAAAAACTGAAGACTTTTTACGATTTCTAGCACGCACGCGCGACCCTCTGCGGAGATTCGCGTGGTCGAGGTTCAAAAACTGAGGACTTTTTACGATTTCTGCTGGCCGCGCGCGACCCTCTGCGGAGATTCGCGTGGTCGAGGTTCAAAAACTGAGGACTTTTTACGATTTCTGCTGGCCGCGCGCGACCCTCTGCGGAGATCGTGCGCGTCGAAGCGCTCTCGCTGTGGCGCCGTGCGAATTTGTCTTAGTCTCGGCGAACCCTCTGCGGAGATTGTGCGTGTCGAAGCGCTCTCGCTGTGGCGCCGTGCAATATTCTTGCTCGCGAAACGGCCTTTGGAAGTTGTCTCGTGGTTTGCGCGCCTGCTTTCGCAATCCCGCGGTCGCGGGTTCGATTCCCCCCTGGTCCGCGGCAGCTCCGGCTTGAAAATCGCAGCTTTTAAGTACAAACGTAGTACGCGGAGCGTGCTCCTGCAGCTCCGGCTGGAAAATCGTAACTTTTAAGTACAGACGTAGTGCGCGGAGCGTGCTCCCGCAGCTCAGGCTGGAAAATCGCAACTTTTAAGTGCAAACGTAGTACGCGGAGCACACCCCCGCAGCTCCGGCTCGAAAATCGCAACTTTTAAGTACAAACGTAGTACGCGGAGCGTGCTCCTGCAGCTCCGGTTGGAAAATCGCAATCTTTAAGTACAACGTAGTACGCGGAGCACATTCCCGCAGCTCTGGCTGGACAATCGCAACTTTTAAGTACAAAAATAGTACGCGAAGTACATTCCCACAGCTCCGGCAGCACTTGCGCAGAGCAACTTGCGCAGAGTCACTTGCACAGAGCAACCTGCGCTCTGCGAATTGCACAGAGCACTTGCACACAGCACTTGCGCAGAGCAACTTGCACAGACCAACTTGCACAGAGCCAATGCGCAAAGCGCTCGCATGGAGCAACTGGCGCAGAGCAACTTGCTCAGAGCACTTGCGCAGAGCAACCTGCACAGAGCACTTGCGTGCAGCAGCGTGCAGAGAGCAACTTGCCCGAAAGCAGCCTGGAACAATGCAGCTTGCGCAGACCACTTTCGTGAGAAATCATGCAGCGCAACTTGAGCAAAGCACATTGCGCTGAGCAGACTCGCGCAGAGCCACGCTTTATAGAGCCAAGTTGCGCAGAGCCACTCGTGTAAAGTAGCTTGCGCGCGCCAGGTAGCAGCGCGCCAAGTTGCGCAGAGCCATCTTGCGCAGAGCTAAGTTACACGAGCCTGCTTTGCAGAAACATACGCTTCATTGCTGGAGCACGAAGACGCCACAGCATTGTGTCTGACTCGGGCAGGAGCCGGTTGCTATTGGCTTGTTTCTTTTTGTTTCGTGGGCAGCGCCGTCCTTCAGGGTGAAGTCAAATTTACCTGCAGTGTTTGCAAAGAGTGTTTGGCACATTTCCACGTGCAGCATTGAAGCAAGACTTCTCAGCAACAGCCTTTGCACCCGGCAGCCGTTCCGATAGTTTTTGGAGCACTGCGTGCACACTTGAGTTGAGGATCCGCATGAGTTGAGGCTCGGTTTACCTTGAGACATGCTTTTGCGTTTGCGCCGTCGGCAGCATATTTTCGGAGCCCCACATGTAGAGCATTAGAGCAAGACTAGCCAGCAGCAGCTACATTTTCTACAGCTCGCCAGATCGAAGCCACCGCATAGTGTAGTAAACCGCCGCATCGAGTGTATTGCTTGCATGGCGCGCGGCGATGGTGACGCGCTGCAGCGGCTGTCCAAGGAGCAGGCAGGGCCCAGACAGGAGCAAGACACAGAGGCACAGGATGCACGTCGCTTCACCTGCTTCGCGTTGTCGTGCTTCAGCCATGCATGTGGAGTTTTGCGGGTTAGCAAGTGAACGCACGAGTGAATGCACGACCAGCGAAGCTTCGGTATTCGATAACATTAGCTATAGGCCAGTCTTGGGGCCTAGAGCAGTTCGATAACATTGTGTGTTTAATGATTAGCCACTCTTGGGGCATCTTTTGTGTAGTTGTGGCTCAGGATCCTGTGGCCACCGAGTCGCAGCAGCTGCTGGCGCACGGGGAGCTGGCTGGCTGCGCGAGGAGCTGGCCAAGCAGACCGCCGTGCAGCTGCGACAGCTTGCTGGCACCGCGGGCGTGCAGCAACGTGAAGCTGGACGCGTCAAGTTACATAGAGCCAAGTTACATAGAGCCAAGTTACATAGAGCCAAGTTACCATAGAGCCAAGTTACATAGGGCCAAGTTACATAGGGCCAAAAGCACATGATGGGAAGCGCTTGGGGAAAAATGCTTTCGGGCCAATCGTCCTCTAGTTTTCTTTACTTCCTTCTTTCCTTCTTTTTTACTGTCCTTCCTTCTTTCCCTCCTTCTTTCTTCTTTCTTTCCTTCATGGAGCCATTTCTGAGGAACAGCTGCGAAGTTTCCCCCGGCTCCCGAGGCACCTTTTAGGCCACCCTTCGGGCGGAGCGGCGGTTTTTTAAGCGTAGGCCGGGCCCCCCCGAGTCTACGACACCAAGCCCTACTTCTGCGGGGCTCAGGCAGGGAAGGGACCATGCTGTGGATGGACAGAATCCATTTCGCACCACCATTCAGAAACCCTGGAAGGATTCGATTCTTCTGTAAATACCAACAAGCAATGGTTTCAATGGTTCAAAGCGGTGCGAAATGGATTTCGTCCATCCGCAGTAGGCGTCGTCGCTTTGGGTTGCACTGGTTTAGATTGGGTTGATGCCTCTATTTTTTCAAAAGGTAAGCTATGGAAGGGACAAACCACCCCCAAAGAACTCCTGGCCTTATGAATGAGTTGCCAAATAACAACAACGGCTTGGTGGCAAATTCTAAGGCCCGGCAAGCGAAATAAGGCCCCAAGCCTTATGGGGAGTCTTTTTTTGCACCCTGGAAGGGTTGGCAATGGTCAGACTTCTGGGCTAGGCCCTTCCATTGTCCATGAGTTGTCATTTTTTTGGATTCTTGCCCCACACGCTTCTGTTTGAGGGATCAAAGACCAATCCAGCAATGGTGTCGTTCTCTCCCTGTGGCTTTCACCTGTTGTTTTTTATCGGAGGCTAAGCAGAACAAGAGAAAGCTGCAGTTGGAACAGTCCAAAAAAGCGCAGCTTTGCAAAACGAGAAGGACGACGCACAGAGGGCGAAAGCACTAAGCTAGCACAACTTGCCTAGGGACTCTGAGGAACAGACAGAACACGTGGGCCCTGCTCACGTTT